CACTCCATTTATTATCGAGTGGCTGCAGAAGAAGCCCCTGCCATCATTCCCTCTACGTATGGTGTTTAGATCGCTTGTGGCAGGCCGCCTGGATCTAGCACGGAGCATCGCGACAGGCTCCGTGAGCGTTCATCCTGAGGTCAGATCATTTTTAGTGGCAAACCTCCCAGCCGAACTTATTTGGTCGCCTGTGCCGTACAAACCAAAATATACACCCGTCGAATTGTCGCCAAAATCACCGTCAGGAACGCGTTTCTGTTTCGACCTGTTACATTCGTTTCAAGACGAACAGGTACTTAAAATGTGCCCTTCCACGAAAGGCATCCTCGACATTTTACAAATTGCTGAAAAGCACGCCATACGGCATAATACACCATTCGACGATATACTGTCGTTGATGCAACTCGGCTTGGCCACAGCTGCGCTCCAGGTTGAAAAACCGACATTTGAACGGTGTGACCCACGCCTGGTAGTATTATTACACTATTGGTCTATCGCAAAATACCCTGATTACGCTCCAAATTATTCCATCAATTACGAGAAGAACCCACAGGCAGCGCGATGGAATCGAAAGAAGCACCCGGTGGCAACCCTATCGCATCACAGGCATCCGCTATCAGCGCTGTCGCACCCGTCGCGGCCAAACGCAAAGCATCAGGCGGCCCTGGAAAAGCTCATTGTGTATATAACAAAGTCAATCCCGGAGAACCGTATCCTAGCTAGACACATGTCTTATACGATCTTTGAACTTTTTCGACTACTGCCGTATCAGCATTTTGCGCCCGCTGCAAGGCTGCCTTTGATAAAGCTTCTATATCGCCACGTCTCGGCTGTACGAGTTGACCTGGACAACCCGCAATTGAGCGATGAAGAATGGCGACGAATTGATTTAGATGCCGAGATTTTGACGGTGATCCCTCCCAACGACTCCAGATGGCTATTTAGTCGGTTGCCCAATTTGGAAGCCGCAGAGAGTTTAATTACGTTCAGGAGTGCGGGTCGTGGGTCAAATCTAGATGGCAATGGGCCGTGGTGGTTCAAGTATGGCCAGTTAAAGATGTTGTGGGAAGTCGAAGATACCCATCTAGAAGGTAGCTGCCATGAGACGCTCAAATTGCTTGGGAATGTGAAGACAGAAGCCGAAAAAAGCCGGGATCCAGATAACAGATCGATGTGGGCTGGAAGAGCCGCTCGGTTGGCTATACGCAGTAAGAGCGTTGCCATCCTGAGGGACGTCACAGTATGGTCTAGGCGTTATTTACGTGACCATATCGTCTACCCAAATATCACCCAGATTTTGATCAGCTCGATGCAAGATAATATCCTATCGTGTGTGACGCTCTGCCCGAACCGACGACCGGCATCCCTTGCGGCGCTTAAGGCTCTTGTTGAGGAAGCAAACTCTCTTCTTTTGCTTCACATTGAGGCAGCCCTTCAATATCTCAGAGAACCTAATTTCCAACCACGCGTATATCAGAGCTTTAGCACATTACTATGGCGTATTTTTTCGGAGCGGATAGACGGTGTGCAAACCCTCCAGAGATTAGGCTTGGGAAGCGAAAGCGAGCTTGTGTCGATTCTAATCGAATCGATGATGCCAATATTAACGCTCTACGGGGAAACTGGCTTGGCCGATGGGAATGAGCAATTGGATTGGGCTCTTCCCAACGGGATAACGGTCTCTTTTAAGCCTCGGCGCCTATTGGCTCTGCCGTTTCTGGACAAGTTAGCCAGACACCGAGACGAGCTGTGGGCACAGAATCGCTTAAAACGAAACGATCTTGTTGCCACTCTCGGCGAAGGCTGGCCTAAAGGGTTACCTATCCAATCTCTTCTGCTCGGGGAACAGTGGATGGCACAAGCACTTGCAAACCCCGAGGCTGCACCGTTTGTTGCAGACCGGCTGAGAAGAGTCATATTTTGTGACCCCGAAATAGCTCTAGCGACAGTGCCTCGCAACACGGATATCATTGAGTCTTTCGTTGATAACCTACCTGTTGCAATTCGGTCATATGTCGGGAGAGGGGCTTCGACTGAGGTATTGGGAAGGATTCAACGCGTCTGGGAGCACTATTATCACGTTGTTCCTGTGGCAGCCGGGCACATTGAGATGGTAAAATCGCTCTTAAAAAAGATTGCCTCGGCAGCTGGAATTGAGTGGATGAAAGAAGATATGGCACCTCCTCTACCACCATCCTTGCCTGTCTCCGAAAATAACTCTGGGGCTGATCTAGAGCCAGTAGAGTGGGACCCTCGGCCCAATGGTGGTGGCGGTGACGACGAAATCGCTGAAATCAACGAAGTCGATAAAAAACCCCAAAATCTACTCCTATGTCGGCTTTCACCCACCGAAGACGCATCTAACTGGCATTGGATGGGAAACTTACCCAAGAAACCAGGAAACTGGTCTCCAGCAGAGCCAGTTGACTCGCAGCAAAGTTTCTGGAGGACTTGGGTCAGCCAGATTCATAAGCTACCAATGTCAAGCAAAGATGCTGTGGTGGCATCAGCCATGTTGTATCTTGATGCATTCGCTGCTGGAGATACTCGTCTTCTTTCCAACCAATTTCCCGCCGGTATACTTCATCCTCGATACCCATCGATGTACCTAGACTACGGATTTCTTTCCAGTATCGGGAAATCAAGCAACACACGAGAGTACGTCAACGATGCTATTCTTGCTCTTCGGAAACTGAAATCGATTGTACCACCAGTACTATTAAGAGATTTAGCAAATTCGATGCTGAACAAGCTTATCCACAAGAAGACCTATGAAGGCAACTATTGTGACTCCGACTTTATTATTCTCGAATCCGCCACGTTTAAAGTGATTTCACTTCTTTCGCTTACCGATCAACCACGCCTTGCCTATGGCCCGGCCGTGCGGGTGGTTGAAAAGATGCCAGGTTCTTCGTCGTGGCACCGGAGACTCATTTCTGTAGGACTATGCAAGAGATTGTGCTCAACACACGCCAAAGAGATGCTACAGAACTTTTCATGTTTCATCCTCAAGTCCATTGATAGGCAACATGCAGGCAATAAAACAGAGGAGGGGGGTTTTGGTTCTAGTGGCGGCTTAGACCCGTCCAAGAAGCAGTACGTAAAAGTAACAACTTTGAAGCTACTAGCTCAGTTGCTTAAAGGTGGAAACTCAGTCGCGACTGAGATCTCTCTGGATATTCTTCGGTCGCTATTTGTTAAAAGCAACCACATCGACGTGAAGGCCGCAGCTCTAGGTGCAATTATAGAGTTACTTGGAAAGAATGTTCGGCTGGGTCTTGAGCCGGACCCCAAGGTATATAAGGTTCTCGCTGCATTTGCTGATGCAGCGGCGGGACCTGATGAGAGGACGGTTGTTTCGGAAGCCGAGTGGATAGCCGCTGAGAATGGAGGACCTCTCCCCAATTGCGACGATCACAGGCCCCTACTTGATCTCTTTCTCATGGCAAAGGGTAGAATACCCGACAAATTTCATGAAGATTACGTTCGCAGTGTCTTGTTTAAGATCTTCGATGAATCTACGAGGCAGCATACTCGCTGGATGCGGATATTTCTTGGCAGGTGCCAACTGCCAACTGAAGAAGCACACGCCGCCCAATTTGGCCCATTCATCGACAACTACGCAAATAAACTGCTGTCAGCGTGGTCAGACTGCATTTCAAAGGGTTACCTTCTACGTAGCCGAGAATTGTCAATGGGTTACCGTGACTGCGAAAGGCTTTCTCATATCAATAAAAAGCTGAACGCCATGGACCCGACATTGGGGGAGACTAACGCTGGTATGCATTGGAAACAATACTTCCAGACTCGTATAGATTACAGACTTGCATTCGGATCACTTGGAGAGCTTGTCATGTCGAAGGATTTACAGCCTCGTTTTTCAAATGGTATTACGCTCGAAGACGCTGAAGAAGAATACTTCCAACGCATTGCAATTGCAGCGAGAGAGCCCCGTTATGGCATAGATGGAAACCCAGTCGTATCCCTAAAGCCATTTGAGTCCGCGATTAACATATTGTTACCTCGCAGCGACGCGGAGAACATACCAGAGAGCCGACGCCGACTTCTGGAGAAAATTGTTGCCGATGTGGGGGGCCTACACTCCAAAATTTGGCCAGAAGGTTCATCCGAGAAACCTCCACTTCTCCCTTCGCTCTGGAATCTCCGGTGTAGACTTGCCATGACCTCTCCATCAGCTGAGTTGGTGGAACGCGTCAACTTTCTGTGCAAAGAATGTTCTCAGTCATCGTTTGCTATGGGCGACTACAAGCAGCTTGTTAACGCTGTCGGCACCATAACATCCGACAGCCAGATCTCCCTGTTAGTCAAGCTGGGGAAGGCGGCACAGAATGAGCACGATGGTTTTGTGGGGTGTATCAAGGTACAATTGGTGCACTACCTTCTTCGGAAGATCAAGGATATCACCACGGTAGAGAGACGTACAGGCGTTGAATCGCTGTTGAAGTCATGGTTGGACAGCTCGAATGAGAATATCCGCAGGATTGCTTTTAGCGAGATGGAAAAGTTTGCTTCCGTCAAGGCCAACAACAACTTTGCATCTCATTTTGGCTACTGTCCTAGTTCTGAAGATGGAGATGATAACGAGGGGTGGTGATTCACTGGTAGGGAAAGCGTGACATACTAGCACATCTTGCACATCTTCCTAAACAATACGATGGGTTGGTGAAGATAGTAATATATCCGAATGGGTAACCCAACTAAATAATAAAATAATTACATTTTATTTGTCTGAGTTTCTTAAGAAATTAACTGTGGGTGTAATCCAGCTTGAAAATTAAGATCAAATTAAGATCAAATTAAGATCAAATTAAGATAAAGTTCAAACGTGTGTGTAAAAGAGTTAAAAGATACCATTAGCTTCACTGTTTCCCTGTCCGAGAGATAAACATCTCAAAGCTATGTTCAGATTATAGGTGTGATTACTATGGAGCTTCTTAGTGCTAAGTATTCGCTCTATGAGGATGTAGTCCAAAAAAAAATGACAACTGAGAGATTCGAACTCTCGCTCTTTCGAACTAGTAGTCACATGATGACCTGAAACTAGCGCCTTAACCGCTCGGCCAAGTTGCCTGTTTGATTATCTTTCTGATTGGATGCAATCCCCGTCATTGATTCTTAGGGGCCGGGTATGCAAAGGGGCCGCCACCCGGGTGGGGCACCCGTCCCAGCGTCTTTGTTTAGTAATCTAGTCATAATACGAGGCCCAACCAAAGATAGATCAAGAAGAGATTGATCCATGGCCCTAAATTTCGGGTATTAGCTGGGGGGAATAGCGTTTAGGCCGTGCCTTGATAGACCATTGCCGATAATCTGATTATGTACTCGTCATAGACATTTTAACTGAAGGGTAAATAGTTGGCGGATGAAAAGAGAAATAATCCAAATCTGTAAGATGTCTACAGGTTAAATCGTATAAACCATTCCTATAATGGACCCCACTAGCTTATGGAAGAGATATGTAGAAGACGTATAAAAGAAGTTATAGGGGTCACACTAGATATTGAATGGACCCCAATCAACTGCACCCACCCACATCACATATCCTGCAACCCCTGCCACGCACCCCACAAACCGCTATAACCATGAGTTTCCCCTCTTGGACACACACAGCCCATCACGATGTCTATCCATATACCCACCCTTCGAGGCCCGAACTATCAAGCAAAGGAAAGGTGGTCATCGTCACCGGCAGCGGGCGCGGCATAGGGCGAGCCACCGCGCTCGCATTTGCAAAATCAGGTGCCAGAGCCGTCATTATCACCAGCCGCAGCGAAAACGCGATGGCGACCGTCGCAAACGAGATCACCAAGCTCGGGTGTGAGGCGCGGTACTATTCGGCCGACGCGGTGGACCAGACGCGTATCCAGGAGGTGTTCACAGCGACGAAGGCAAAGTCTGGGAGTATCGACGTGGTGGTCGACAATGTTGGATATCTGCCTGACGAGGCCTTGATCAAGGATGCGCGGCTGGATGACTGGTGTGACGCGTTTGAGGTCAATACAAAGGGCGGGTTCATTGCCATCGTCTAGCATGCGCCGCCGGGCGCAACGCTGATTAGCACGGTGACTGTGCTGGCTCACTCGACGTATTACCCGGGGTTCTCAAGCTATTTCCTAGCAAGCTCGCAACGTTGAAGGTGATGCAGGATGTGCATGAGGAGCATCCTCCGGTTTTCAACTTTCAGCCGGGAATAATAGACACTGTGACGTCTTCCAAGAGCAGGACACAGGTAAGTATGTCTTATTATGAGCTTGGTGTAGAATTTTGTGCTCCAACGCTAACCATATCCCCAACACAATCGATCTCCCGACAGGATTCTCCCTATGGCTGGCAGTGCCGAATCCGACTTCGTCCGCGGGAGAATGCTGTGGGCAAACTGGGATGTGGACGAATTGAAAGCCAAGAAGGACGAGATATCGAAAAGCGATTTATTGAAGATTGTACTAAGCGGATGGCCATGAAATTCTTGTCCTTGAGTCGTTGTCATCGCCTTTCGTCAGTCTGATTTCCGAAAAAATATATCAAATCGCATTGAACAGCAGCAGAGGTGTGAAATAGAAGCTAGATTTGTGGTAAGATATGAGAAGCAGAACTTCGCCAAGTGTCACCGGACAATCCTCTGTGAATATTGCGCCATCACATACATTTCCGCCTTGCCATCGCACCTTGGGAGATTTGAGTTTGTCGCTGCACATTGGATTTAAGTCATCTCCACTTCAACGCTGCCACTTGAGCCACCTGAGCCATATGAGCCATTCGCACCAATAGCCGATGTTCCATTCTCGACTGGCTTTTGTAACGACAACACGTCGCGGGCAATAGTCTGTATTTCGGCCACCGTTACTTCACCAATGGGCCATATTTCCCCCAATGCCTTGATGGCACCAAGACCCAACCTCACTCGATCTCTAGCGGCTTTATATTCGGCGCCCTTCAATTTGAAGCGGCAAGCTGACATCTGAGCTAGTATCAATAATGTCAGACCGCATATAGTAAGAGGCGAGTGCCTAATGAATGCGGTTGGTAAGGTAATTAGTCCAGTGCCTGCTTCTGCGGCCTCAAGCACTTTCGTGGTGTGGAAGTCAAAGGCCCGTTGCTCTTCTTCTATCAGTTTCTCCGATGGTGGATGCGCACATCGAGAGTTACGTTCGATGGCACCATAAGCCAGCTGGGACCGTGGCCGGTGAAGATAGACCTTCAGCCTGTATACAGTCAGGACCTCAATTCTGGGTTGGATGGCGATCGTCATGAAAAAGAGCGCAACTCACGTGTTGTAAAGCATAATGCCATGAAACATAACCTCATCGACCTTCCCAGGATCTTCGACAAGGAGCTGCTTCTCCTTCGGGAGGTACATGATCCAATTCATCAGTTTCGCATCAGCACTGATGACATCAGGCTCAAAGGTGCCCCGAGGTTCCGACCCCAAAGCCAGAATCGTGCCAGCAATATGGGCCAGGTCGATTAAGTAGGCAGAAGAAGAAAATTTGAGTTCTTCTCCGGCGAATTCACGGGAATTGTACTCTTCCCATGTGTGGGGTAGCGGTATGTCCTATAACTGGTCAACAAACACGTCGAATCACCGCGAAAATTCATGCTTACCCCAGAGTTATAATGAACATCTTCGCAGGGTACATTGACATCTGATTTTACGTCCCGCAACGTGAAAGTTGGGCAGTGCCGAATACCAGAAAATATGCTATCAATCAGGAATAAATACCACCACGTCCTTCTCCAACTTTCAATCAGTACGGGGCTACCTTCTCCATTCGATATGGCGAAAGCCTCAGTATTCATATCGATGCTGAGAGCCATGCGGATCGCACGATCGAGTATATCACGTGCACTTGTGAATTCATCACAGGAGTGCACCGCAGCAGCAAAGGTCAAAAGTGCCTGAACGGAAAACCCATTGGCAGGCAAGGAATCAGGCAGCAAAAACCTCTCTGCTCGGTCTTGCATGGCTTCCTTAGCTGAGCTCTTGGCGAAGAGCGATCCGATGAACTCCATTACTGGCAGAATATGTTGCAGGGAGGCGCTATCGGTTTGTAACCGCTGATTGAAAAACCTTCGAGGAAGAACATAGGGGTGAGCATCGTGGAAAAATTCGTAATATAAGTCTAGCAGTTTTGACGAGCTCTCGGACTCTGGTATCGGCCCTGCTGTGGTTTCATTCGTTGTGATGACAGGTGAGAGGTCAACCGGGCTCATCCTCAAATCCAAGCTGCTGCCCGTGGTAGGCGTAGAGTGTGTTGCCGAGTTCGCGCCACTCACGGGCCCAGATTGCCTCTCCTCGCTCTCCACCAATGTTCCTCCATTCGATGAAAGCTGACGTTGCTCAAATACGGCCAGCTTGCCGCGCCCTCGCCTCGACTCAGCGTACACGCAGGTCTTGCCACTTCCAAGGCATTGTGTGCACGCCGGAGAAATTGCATCACATTTAGTATGGCGGCTACGGCATGGGATGCATGCCAGAGAGACACGAGTCTTGGGCCGTGGCCGAGAGTCCGTTGATGGCGTTTGAGGGAGTGGCAAGTCTATCAGTGGGAACTGAGAGCCCGAAGCGCCGAATTCAAAGGGATCATTGAACTCTGGGATAGAGAAGTCGTAACCCAATCCTAACTGGAACAAGGCTATTTTGTTAGAAACCGCACCGTATTGATCCAGGCCCTCTGGATTGAGCCAGGCAGTTGAATCCGAGGTATCCATTTGCGGCAGGGCTTGATCTACACCGTTGGATACGGTGGAGCTGCTGTTGTCTATACGTCTATATAACGGCAAATTTACAACGTATATGGCTGATATTGGCGAAGGAGCAGGAGGGGGAGTGTACGGGATAAGGATGGAGTGTCAGCGTCGCCGTCGTCGATACCACAGTATCGGGATGACTCCTGGCCTAATCTTGTTTAGTACTAGATTTCATATTTGCACGCTGGCGTGCACTTAAACCCACCGTTTCTTGGCGTAAAAGCTTAGTCATTAGTGCTAATCACAGCCATATCTAGTCGGGTAATTCATCGCCGGGGGTGTGTGTAAGAAGACCCTTGGTGTTATTGAGTTTGCGGGAATGGCCAAATTTATAAGTCTTCCAAATCCGGACCCGTGCGCTTGAAAATCCTCTTGAGTTCGAATATTTAATGGGCGGACTTATGTCTTTTATATCTTTTATATCTTATAAGTCTCGCCATTGAATGTTCGAACTCTAGAAAATACGACGCACTAATCTTCTCCCCGAAGGTGCTGGGCCGCCCTGAGGGAGGGGCGCAGCGCAAGACGTCCACTTCGAACCACTGGTTGCTAGGGGACCTGCACACAGGTAGTAGTTCCAAACCTGAGGCGTTCTACTTCATCCCGCGGACTACCACATACTTTTCATCCCATTGACTCTCATGAGAACCTCACACACGCACGGCATTTTATTTATAGGGGAAAGGAAGTCAACAAAAGCCGCATCATCTTTTATTCTACCCATCCAGTCACTTCCGGTTACATTACACGGCCTTATATGGACTTCCATGGCCATCCTTATACATTATAGTCAACCCATTCGCCCCGGGTTCAAGTATCCCCATCTCCATTATCTTCTTGTAAAACCTTATACAAGGTTCGCCCTTCGTAAACAGCATTGCGCGGCGCAGATCAGGCCACGAATCTAGGGTTTCGTTGATGCATTCCAGCAGCCACCGGCCTAGGCCGTTTGCTTGATGTTCGGGGATAATAAAGACGTCCGTGAGGTAGGCAAAGCTGGATTCATCCGTGACGAGACGGCCGAGGCCGATCTGGGTGAGAGAACTACGGCCTAGAGAAGGTCAAGATGAGAACCGAGATATGTGGCATAATAAGTTGGAAGAGCAGCATTACTCAACTTACCCGCGATATCGGAGGAGGATTCGGGCAGGATATAGACGCCGAAACAGAGAGACTTGGACAGCATCTTCTTCATTTTGTCTTCGGGCATGCCCTTGGTCCAATACATGTAGTCCGAATTGAACGCCTTAGTTATAACATCGATCTGGAGCAAATCTTGAGACGTGGAGATGAGGAATTGGTCCTTGTACCATTCTGACTTG